TTTACTTTTATTTAAAAAAATTTAAAGAATTAAAAAATAAAAGTCTTTGCAAAAGTTTCTTTGCTTATAAAGTTAAGCAACTTTTCTTTCAAATTTATGCTATTCAAATTTTGATTGGATAAATTTGATTTTTAATTGTTGCGTTTTAGAAAACAAAAGTTTGATCTGAAGTTTTTTTCTAAAAAAAATCGTTTTAGATAAGTAAAATATCAGTTGTTTCAAAAAAAAAGTTTTATCTGAAGTCTCTTTCTAAACAAAACGTTTTAAGTAATCAAAATGACAGATTGCTTCAAAATATTTTAATTTCCTTTTTTTTATTTATTTTTAATCGTTATTTAAGCTATCAAGAAGGCTATTCAAGATTTTTTTTTTTTTTCAGTTTTCTTTAATAAAGTCAAGAATAAATCTTCTTTTAAAGTGCCAGTCAGTAGAAGCTCTGTTAAATTCTAAAGGTTTAACAAATCTAAAGATAAACAGGCTAAAGGAATACCGCTACCTAGAAGGCTTTATAAAAAACAAACTGGGTGATCAAATTTTGAAACTTTCTGCTTTACTCTAAAACGCAGTGAATAGCTAGATAAATAAAATTCTAGAAGCAGGTAATAAGTATACCTCAAAGAGGTTGAATGATTGTATCATTCTTGCTAGAGTATTTTGGAAAAAGTTAGCCTCAGGACTTCAAAAAAGAAAAAAAGTATTATGTGTTTGGTTGATGATGCAATATGATTAGTATTAACTTTCTAATTAAGTTGTTGCAGTTGGAAAGCTTTGGAAAAATCCATTTAATTTCAACAGTAGATGTATACTTAATTATTTAAACCATATAAAAAATGAAAGTTCGCGTAGTTTAAAAATGTTTTGAAAATTATTGTCCAATTATTTGTCCAAAAAGTTGAAACTATGGAATATAGTTGAAACCAGCTACAAAAATAAATAGACTTTACATCAGGTGTGCAAGATGAATTCTATTTTAATTTGATTCATTACAAGGCAGCCCATTTAGTCATGAACTAGGCATTACTGAAGTAGATAAAGATATGTTAAAATGAAAAAAAAGTTCGAATTTTAGGAATTACCTAATATACCTTATGATTTATAAGTAACAAAACAAATTAAGCATTATATATGAAAATAATTCATACAGTTTGTTATTTACTATTGAAAATGGAAAATAACTATAAAAGTCATCATATGTGATAGAGATTGCTTCGGGAACTTTCCATGTAGAACATCTTGGTTATGAGCGTGTTCTTTGGTAGACATAAGATGAAGGTTTGTATTTTTATATCAACAATCATGTATTTAAACAGAATAGACCTCTGCGACAATGACCTACATTTTCTCCCTAAAATAAAGAACCTCATTTTTAAAAAAATGAGGTTCTTTATTTTAGAGAGACAATGTAGGTCATTGTCGCAGAGGTCTATTCTGTTTAAATACATGATTGTTGATATAAAAATACAAACCTTCATCTTATGTCTACCAAAGAACACGCTCATAACCAAGATGTTCTACATGGAAAGTTCCCGAAGCAATCTCTATCACATATGATGACTTTTGTTTTGTTTTGTTACTTATAAATCATAAGGTATATTATTGATTAATTAAACAGAAAAAGATTTCTACTTTTCTACTTTTCTTATATTTAATGATAATAATAATTTCATCTATTTTTAACAATGCTTTTTTTTTGTCAATATATTCATTTTTATTAAAATCGAAGTAGAAGGCGAAATAATTAAAATGAAAAAAAATGATTATGATTTTCAAAATCAGCATAAAAAACTAATTATGAAAAATTGGTTAAACTATAAAAAATCTAAAAAAAGATGATTAAGGACCCCCCTCCCCTACTAATACGTTCGAAATAAATTTCCTCCACTTAAAGTTAAATTTTTAGAAACAAAATACGTTTTAAACGAAATACATCATTGTTTTAATGATTTTTAAACTTATTAGCAAATTAAATACATAAAAACCCCAAAAAATGTAGCTACCGCTTAATTTAATTAATTTTTAAAAATATTCCTCCATTTCATTTATGAAATTCTACCATAATTTCACTATAAAATTTCTTTTTTTGAAAATTTGCGGTTTTAGTCATAAAATCGACACACCCTAATATATACAGAGTATATATACATATATACAGTGTATACATACATGTATTGTCTATATATACATTTATACAGTGAGTATATACAGTGGTTGGTCATACTATTAGTTATTTTGTTTTTTCACAAAAACTGCAATGAAATATGAATCTGTGAGATTTATAAATATTTGAAGGTGTGAGATTTATAAATATTTTTGGCATCAACTTTTACTATTGATAGCTAGAATAGCAAATGACAAAACTTTGGGAAACACATGTTGTTTCATATTCTATTCAAAATTGTTTTAAGTGTAAAAATATGTGTGTAACAAATAACTTTTTTGTTAATTGTTTAATGTTTCTATTTCTATAATGACCTATGAATTCAAATTAAGTAATAAAAATATTTGAACTTTGATGCATAAAAATGGGAAAAACTGAAGAAGTACTAAATTTTTAAAACTGCACAAAAATTTAAATAAAAATGACTCTGACTTATAAATTTGCATTAAGTAGTGATTTTAAATAAAATTATTTGAACTTTGATGCATAAAAATGGGAAAAACTGAAGATGTGCTAAATTTTAAAAAACTGCACAAACATTTTTTATAATTATTTGCTTTTTTAAAACATTCAAATCGCTCCCGAAGAAAAATTGCAAATTTAATGTTTTTTTTAATGATAGTAAACAGAATAAACTTGATAAGAAAATACCTCTACAAAATGGCAGTGGTGGAAAATGTTAAAGATATGACATCACTATGTCAATATATAAAGCAAACAATTTGTTTAAAACCAAAGAAAGATCATACAAGATGTAGGAACTGGCAGACCTACAAAGAGACCAAAACTTAATTCAGGAATGAAATCAAAACGTTATAATTCGGCTAAACAACACCAATATACGCTGAAGATTATGAAAATACTTGTTTATTATGATAATGTGACTGATTACAAAATTCATTTTTTCAATTTTTTGATTGCTTCTCAGTCAAGCACCAAAAAATATTGACAGCTAAGTCTTCTTTTGTTGGACGCAGAAAAGATGAAAAACTGTGTCATGTAATCAGTAAAACACCTTCTAAAGGTGATGGTGTTGTCAGTTAAAAGTAGTAGGGGCAGAAGTTCTCTTTATATAGTCAAAAGGATGATGAATTAGAACCAATATAAAAAAACTATTAGCCACAAAATTGATTTCTGTTAAATGGTTTGTCTTCTAGTATGTTCAAATGCATTTTTATGTCTGATTCTGCCTAACAACAATAAGTCTGTGACAAAATTATTAGAGGCGAAGGTTATTACAGTTTTACAATGGCAATTTTTCAGAAAACCCAATAGAGAATATTTGAGGTTTTTAAAGCCTAAAATTGGTTAGTAAACTTTAATCAGCAAGAGGTTTTTAAAAGACACAAGTCTTATAGTGGCGTAATAACCAGGAATTAAGAGTAAATATAAAAAGTTGTAAAACTAATGTCAAAAATCAAAAAGGATACAAACAGTAGTTGCAAAAGGTGGCTCAACCAAACACTAAAAACATTTTGTGTTGTAAGTTTTCTTAAATAAATAGTTAAAAGTAATAATAAATATTTTACTTTTTACAGAAAAATGTTAAAGCTAGAAACACCGATATTATTATAAACACTTAACATGTAAAATAATGTTATAATGGTTAATTTGATAATTTCTTGTGTACACAGTGGATTTATAAATTGACACTATAAACCTGAGGGACATCAGTGTCCCATGTTTTACATGTTTTACAGTAAAGGGAATTTTTGTAATCCAATAACTTTGGCATTATTTTTATTTTATTAAAGTATTAAGCAATGTTATTTTGTTAAAAAACTATTGAATTATGCAATTTCTGAATTAACTTAAATAAAAAATTCGTAATTAATGACTAAAATATTGATAAATAACGCTGGGTAGTTAATGTTTATAATTTTGCTGATAAAAATATTCAAAACTTTTAATAAAGTATCTCAATCGGATATGTAGGAATATGCAGCCATTTAAGATGTTTAGAATTACTAATAGATGTTTAGATTACTAATAAACATAATGATTTGTTTGAATTAGACATTTGTAAATTAATTTTTAGACATTAAAAAAATGTAAATGTTTGTCAATGAAAACTGAATTGTTCAGCCCTGCCAATGTTAGATTGCATTTTACTATACACAGGTGTATGGTTTATATTTAAAATGTTGGTTTATATTTGAAAGTTGATTTTAAAATTGGTGGATTTAAAAATGATTTATATATAAGAGGTTGGTTTATATTTAAAAAATTTAGGTGGTTTATATTTAAAAGAAATACTTTGAGTTCCATCATAAGGTTGTTGGACGCAGAACTTTTTGTGAATCTACATTTGATATTTTTTTTGTGTTATCAATAACTTATTCTGAAGCAGTTTATTAAAATGTTCAAACTTTAAATATTTTTTGTAATATTTTGTTAAAAATTCATTGACAAATTTAAATTTCATTTTAAAAAATGTTTTAAAAACTTACGACTTTACACTTTACATTATAATGTAATATTTATGGCGTTACTTTTTTTTCATTTAAAAAGTTATAAATTTATGAAATTTTCTATAAGAGTTTTTTTTATCAAATGACATTTTTTATTTATAACAATAGTATTATTCAAAAAAAATATTATACTTTAGTCTGCTGATTTCAGATTTTAAAATTTATTAATTTTAAATTTATTACATATTTTTTTTTTTTTTTTTGAAGAGAATGACCAGAACTAGTTTATTGTTAGTTGTTGCCACAAGTTGGAAAACATTTTTACTTTTCGTAACTTTCTCAAACTTTAAACATGATATTGGATATGAAAAAATTATGAAGATCGTCTTTAACCATTGAGCTCTTATCCATGCGTTTTTAGATTTTTTTAGGGTTGTCCTAAGGTTGTGCATAATCTTATGTTGGAATGCTGGAATAAAGATCGGTGTATGCGACCAAGGTTTTCTGGTGTAGTATCAATGCTTGAGAGTTGGATTCGAGCTCCAAACTTGTTATTAGAGAAAGCAGCATCTGTGGTTCAAAATAAGTAGTTTTTTTTCTATATGTTTTCTAAGTTCTTTATTTGATTTATTTTTCTAATATTTTTAAAATAACAAGCTATTACTTGCATTTTAGTGATGAAAAATCGGTTTATACAATTTTACAGACAATAAGTAAATGGCTGGAAGCCATTGGAATGGAGAAATACGCAAACAATTTTCTGGAACAAGGCTTTGCAACTCCTCGACAAATATTAAATGTTTCGTTTGAAGATCTTCTTAAATTAGGAATTGAACCAATTGGTCATCGCAAGAAAATTTACAATGCTATTCAAAACACTAAAGTTCAGGTTATTTATTTTTAACTTATATATATTATATATAGTTTTTTTTTACATCTTTATGTAACATCTTTAAAAGTGCTGTATTTGTTTTATTCTCATATGCGCACATAAATATAATAAAAAGAGTTATTAAATCAGTTTTTTTTTATGAAAAAAAAAATTTTTATAAATTTTTCAATGTTATTTTGTTAGGTTCACTACAGCTGCGTTATTTATTTATTTATTTTTATTTTGTTTTTGTTTGGCTTTATGTTTGTAATGAATTTTTAAAGATTTTTTCCAAAGATCGATATAAAGAATTTATATTTGATATAAAGAAATTATATTTGCATTATTTACATACGATTTGATATACTAAGTTTGAAATCTGTAGATTATTGTAGGATTATAAAATATTTTATTATACTTTTATAGTTGCAAGATGTACAAATAATATCTAAAAATAGATAAAAAGTTCTAATAATATCTAAAAATGCAAAAAGTTCTAGCATTTGCAAATATTTTTATTATATGTAAAATGTGTATGATGTGCAAATACTTATTTATAGGGTGTACAAATAAGGTTTTTTATGTTTAATATTTATAGGGTGTACAAATAAGGTGTAATATGTGCAAATAGCAATGTATTCACTATTCACATAATATTATTTATATTTAGATTGAGGCTGTTAAAGTCAATAAATACGCTCTGGTAAATTGATTTTTTTTTGTAGAAGTTAAAGTTTAGTATAGAAAATATTTTGTATATAAATTTGAACATAAATTATTTGGTAAAATCTATTTTCATATATAATATTATTTGGTAATATATATTTTCATATAAAGTAAATTATTTGATAATATATGTTTATATATAATATTTTTTTAAAAAAGATTTGCATAGTTTAAAAAAGAATCTGTTATTCATACTTAATTATTAATTTTTTTGAACATAAATAATATATATTTTCATATAAAGTATTTTTTTAAAAAGATTTTCATTATCTAAAAACAATCTGTTATTCATTCTTGAGTATTAATGCTGTTGATAATTTTGGGTTAAAATTTGTTAATAATAATCACAATCATATCATAAATAAAACATTATTTTGATTTGCATTAAAAGTGTTTTATCAGCATGATAGCCACTGTTCAAATTTTATCAGCATGATAGCCACTGTTCAAATTTTATATTATTTGATTTAAACCTCTACGAAAAACGTTAGTTTCTACATTTGAAATTAAAATAGACATTAAAGGTTTTAATTATATAGTTTTTACTCATAAAAGTATAGTAATAATGTATCATTTTTGTTACGATTATGAACAATTTTGTCATATTACATCAAGCAGTTTTTTCATGATTAAATAGAACTCAGAAAAGTGATATAAAAATCTGTTCTTTTGATTTATAGTTTTATAATAAAAACGGGGTGATTTTTAATTTTATAATAAAAGCATGGGCGCACCTAAATAAACCAGTATGTCACATCAAAACAACTAAATCTTATAAAATCATTGGCAATTTCGTTTAGATTTTGACATTTTGAAATTTTTGAATTTGTGTATTTTATAGGGATGTACCGAAGCTTCGGCTTCGGTTCGGCCGGAAGCCAGGTCAATTTTTTTGCCGAATCTTTAGCTTCGGCAAAAAATTTTAAGTAATTAAAGTTATAAGCTACTGTAGTACAAGTTATAAAAATATGCTAATTGCCAGTGTCTAATTAAGTTGTAAATTCAGGACTACAGAGTTAAAGTTGGAGTCTATACCATATACTTAGTATTATTTACTTCCAAATGTCTTGTTAAGGAGGGGATGATAATAAATAAGTAGAAATATTTTGAATATAATAGTAAAATTAAGGAAGGTCCTCATACACTTTGAAGGCTTCCAAGTGTGACTTTAGATGAACTGAATCAGCATTTTTATGCAGAATAAAAACCTTATAATTTAAAACAAATTATAACTTTTTTAAAATAAAATGGAAAAAAAAACCTTAATTTGTATTATGTAACGAATTTATATTAATTTTTGTGTGGGATTACCGCAAATAGAACAAAAATTGGTTGCAACATTTGACCTATAAACCTTAGTAATCTCACTTTAAAGAAGATTAAAGATACGTTGCTACTATTTTAAATTCTGTGTATGTTTAATTTTTTTAGATTTTATTTAACCATAGTAATAAAAATTTACAAATTTTCATCGTAAAATTACAGAAATTGGTTAGGTGTCACTTATATAGTTACAAACTAGTCAATGGAGTGACACATAAAAAACATAAAGTTCTCAACAACAAAAAAAGAAGAAGAGCAAATGAAATATAAATGAGAAGAATAAAAAAAGAAAAAAAAAGGTAACAAAAACTAGATAAATTAAAAGAAAAAGAAAAACAGTGATAATAATTACCCTTGCTCTTTTATTAATATTATGAATACTTCTAAATTGAATTTATATATTAAACATGTAAACTTATATTCTGGTTTCTTCTTATGATATTATGAAGACTTTTAAATTTTATTTAAAATAAATTAAAGGTTAAAGCTTTGATTACTTTGAGCTCTTATATTTATCATCAAAATTTATTTAAATTAAATAAACAATTATATCAAATAAATATCAGCCTGTTCAGTCCCTGTTTATTTATAAATATAAAGTAAATAATAATATAATTATAAATAAAAAAATTATAAAGTATTCTATTTATTATTTTATTTAAAGCTCACTCTACAGAGTTGTTAAATTACTATAGAAGCTTTTATCACAGATAGTAAATATTTGATTTCAGATACTTATGCAGATTTATCCATTACAGAGACAGAAGAAGAATGAATACTAAGCGTGTAAAAGATTAATAGAAGCTTAAGAAAATGTTATGTAGTGTAAAGTTAAAAATAATCAAAAAAAAAAAAACAACTTAAAAGTGTGTAAAAAAGAAGTTAGAGAGAAATCTATCAATTGTACTTTTTTTTATGAGCAGGCTTACAACAGTTGTAGTGGAATACAAAATGGTCTTAACTTGGGTTTTTTTTAGTTTAGAAATTGTTCGTTTAATGAATACAGAGAAGTGAAAAAAAGATATAGAAATAAATAGCAATAAAAAGATAAAGTGTGTTTGTAAGATTTTTTATGTTGTAGATACAACTAGATCAGCTAAGAGTGTTTATTTAGAGAAAGAGTGTTCAAGTGTAAAAGATAAATTTATTTGAGAAATATTCAGAGATTTTTATCCACTCTTAACAAAAGGTGCATTAAAAATAAAAATAAAATATACAGCACATGAAAAGATGCGTAACAGTAATTTATGGGGAATAAAATTTGAGGATGTTCAGCTAGCACACGATAATTAGATAGAGCAAAAAAGATGATTAAATAGAGGATTAAAAATTAGATGATTAGATAGAGGATTAAAGAAAAACGATGACTACATAGAAGAACAGTATGGCTATAAAAGATCAAAAAAATAGCAATAATCTTAGAAGAATATTGGGAATAGTTGGAAATATATGTGAGTTATTGATATTGTGCACATTAATATGGCTTGCACACAGAAAAAATTAGAACTAGAAGTAGGAAAATTTGGGGAGAATGTTTCAAAAAAGCTTAAGTTTAAAAAAAAACACTAGGTGCGGTGAAGTATTAGAAACCACATAATGAGAAACTTTCAAACAGGGGCGCTGAGAGCTTTTGCCCTGCCTGGGGCAGCAACCCTGACTCGCGTCCTCATTTTTTTACATTTTTTCTATATTATTAGTCAAGGATCTTAGTTTTGGTACCTTCTTTGTTTTACACCCTGCTGATCTGAATGCTGATTAAATTTTAAGCATATATAGTGCCGAAGCTATCGGCTTCGGCAAAGTGGCTTTGCCGATGCTTCGGCTTCGGCAAAATTTTAGCTTCGGTACATCCCTAGTATTTTATATTTAAATAACTAAATCAATATAAAATTAAAATATCAAAAGATTCTTAATTAACTGCGACTAACAAAGCTTCTTGAAATTCTCTTAACATTTCCCAACAACTAAATAGATTTTGAAAAAGAAAATGCATAAGAAACTTAAAAGCGAAAAAAAGTAATATCTACTTTATTATTATGGGAGAACCAGGGAGAAAATTGACTATTTTTGGAAAAATTTTGCTAATTAAAATTATGTTTGTTTTGAATTTTTAAAACTTTTTATTTTCATATACACTTTGCAAAATGTAAAAAATGTCATTACTTTTATAATATAAAATATTTTTCTACAAAATTTAAAATCTGTCATTGGTTTAAATTTAGTTTAAAATAGTAAAGTTGAAAACTTTACTAGATTAGTAATCAATTTTGCATTTAATCCATGCGGCCGTGGCGCAGTGGTTAGAGCGTCTGCTTTATAAGTTGGAGATCCAGGTTCAAAACGACCTCAGGACATATTTTTGCGTTACGGTAAGGAAGGAGACGTGAACTTCCTGGTTAAATGCATTTCCGCGGTGCTCTTTGACTAGACCGTTAGGTCTTTTTGGGGCACCTAAATAACATAAAAAAAAAAAAGTTTGAATAGTGATGGGGCAAACGTTTAAGGGTTTTTATGTTGCTAAGCCTCCACCATACCAATTTTTTGCAAAGATCTGAACATACTAGCATACTACTATATAGATATGAACATACTTAAGTTTAGGTTTGCGCAATGCATGCAAGTGTCCTATTTGAAACATCAAAAAATCTTGCGGGCACCCATGTTTGATTGGAAGTAACTTAAAGTTTTTATTTCTCAAAGGTATGTAGCAAAAAATCCCCGGAAGTTATGCTGTTTGATACAATGATAGTTTATGGGACTACTTCCTATGTTTAACAAACCAGGTGTAAGTATTTATGCAGCAGATGTCAAATTACTTCGTGTCAAACAATATGACCATATATTAATTAATTGTGTTAAAAAAAACTTTAAAAGCTCAGAGTCACGAGAAAAGGGTTAAGTGATAAATATGAAGGATATATTGTTATTGTCAATCTTAAAATGTTTTTAATACCATATAGTTATAAATAAATAAGTTACATTTATTACTGTGTTTGTACTGGTTTTAGGTTTAAACAAGTTTTATCGATATTAAATTGTTTTTGATTCGGATGGTTAAGCGCCACACCAACCTATACAAAAAAATAGAAAAAATCAGTTTTTATTAAAAAATGATTAGTAGTGTTTCTTTGCAAAGACCAATATCTTTAATAAATTTAAATTCACTGAAAAGCTATTATTTTTAGTTTGTTTTGTGTAGTGGCTTATGTTGAATGCTTTGAGTTCAATTGTCTCATATTTGTTTCATTTTAACATATTCGTTGTATAGACTGGTTTGACGCTAATCATTCATATCATACAATAACAATTTATTACTGTTTTGCTGGTTTTTCTTTTTTTCCCTCGATTTTAATTTTTTTAAGATACTTTTAGAAAATATATTATGGCTGAAATTGAGCGGGTTTGCAAAAATGCAAAAATGCAGAAGCTTATTTTTGCAGGTTTAATGACAGAAAATATTGGGATTACTATTAGTGTTGTTACGACTTAAATAGTTCGCCTGTCGAACTATTTAAGTCGTAATAATATAAAGTCAAATAATATATTTTCTAAATTCGACAAAAATCGTATAATACATTTTTGAAATCGACTAAGTTGACTAAAAATCAGTTTAATCGATCAAAGAAAATCAGTTTAATCGTAATAATTTATTTTTTTGAAATAAATTGTAATAAAAATAATAAAGTAATTTATATTCGTTTTCTATTTTTTAATATCATATCATTTATATAATAATGGAGCAAAACAATATAAGAGAAGGGAACGACAACGGA